ACACACACCCAGTCCCTGAATAGTTCTACTGAGTAGTTCTACCTAGAGATCAGTCCTCTGAGAATTTATAGTCTAAATTCAAAATCCAGGGGTTGTCCAGGAAACTTTAATCCGTGCCTTTCATTTAAATTGGCTATTTGCAGAGAGGGGGCATATGCCTATCAGGGGGCAGCACACAGTAACGGGCAGCATGTCGTAAAAGGGCAACCGAGTCACGGTCACATGAGAGGGGGACTTCAGAATAATCAGATGTCCGTGATAGAATCACCGACACAAAGCTTACAGAAATGAAGGACCTTGTGACCCGGATACAAAGAGGGAATTTTATCATTTTAATAATAAGAAGAATTTAATAATAGTAAGACTTTATTTCAGGTTTGGGAATAATCAAATGCAAGTGATAGAATCTCTGGGCTTCAGAAAATAAAGATAGAAAATAGCTGCAATAAACAGGAAATGGTTAACCTATTAGTGGATTTGAGATGAGAAACGTAAGAGACGGGTTAAGAGCAATGATGGAAGTCTGAAGGAGGTGCACCGTATGCAGAATCCAAAATACACACACACACACACACACACACACACACACACACACACACACACTAGATTAATAGGTTTATTAATGTCAAAAGGTACAAGGTACACATAGAAAATCAATTGTGTTGCTATACCTTAACAGGAAACATTTGGAAAATACAGTTTTCAGAAGTATCTTTTATACTAGTATAGAATACAAAATACTTAGGAAAAAAAACGTACTTCTTCCTGGCGAGACATAAAACATTTAAGTCTTCCCATCACTCCGGAGAGCTTCCTCACACCCCTCCCAGTTCCACCGCCAACCTAGGCAGCCTCTGTTTTGGATTTCTGTCACCATAGGTTCATGCTGCCTGTTATAGAATTTCACTCAAATTATATTATGTAAGATCTATATAAGCTGCCTGGCTTCTTTGCCTTGGCATAGGCTTGATATTTTAAGTGCTCATTCATATCTTTGCATCCATATATCACCATTTTTATTGCTTTTAGTGTATGGGTTTAATCCCAAACTGTTTATCTATTTTCTTATTAGACGTTTTGGTCAATTTCAGTTTGTGACACTAAGTCTTTTGGAAGATAAATGTTTTCTTTTCTCTTGGAGAAACACTTGGATGTGGAACAGCTAGGTCAAAATGCTCTCACCTCACTACTGGAATTTTCCACATAAATGGTGGCCCCATTGACTGCAAAAATCTTTGAAATTAGGGTTCAGGTGTGACTCATGGACTTACCTCCAAAGTCTTGAACACAAGAAGTACAAAGTACACAAAGGAAGCCTTATGTATTTATAAGGTCAAGATATTGAGCCAAACACATTCTTTAAAAAAAGACACAAGCAAATAATTCATCTTCAATCCAGTTTGTCTTTAGTTGTACTGTTTTCAAGGGTCTGATAACCTTATTAAGATCCTTTTAATCTTCTATGAAATAAATCCCATAGAAAAGTGGAAGGAAACTTGAAACTCTAGTAGTAATAAGATTAAAGCAGCTAATATTTATTAAGTCCTAACAATACCAAACCATTTAAGATGATCATCATATCTGTTCTTTGTACTCTGAGAGGTCAGTACAGGAAAACAAAGCTTATAGAAATTAAGGACTTTGTGTCATGTTGCATAGCTAAACATTGGCATACCTGCCCTGGATATAAAGAAGGAATTTTGTATTTTAATAAGCATTATTTTTAAAGCAATCTTGGTCCAAGTTTTCCCACGCAAAGAATGAAAATGGTAAAAGCGATACTACATCAGCTACACACCATGAGGATTGAGTGCAATCATTTATTTTAATTTACGATGCCAGGCAACATCTCAGATGACTGTCATCACCATCATCACCACCACCATCATCATCATTATCCATCATCATCCTTTGACCACGTACTTGCTGTGTGGCCCGAGAGAGCTTAGTGTAAACCTGTAAAGTGAAGGTAATGATGCTTACCATCATGTTTTAAAGATGAAAAGATATAACGTAAATAAAGCCCAGCACAGGAGTTAGCACTGGATAAATGCTCTCTGCTGCTGTTGCTCTTGACCTGTTCAAGTCACGTTTACATTTTCATTCCTGGGCAAGGCATCAGTCGCAGGTAGGTAGCAGGGCTTCTAATCGAACTTTGTGATTTTTCCTTCCCTCCTCTATGCTCGACTACAGCATCCATTAGGGAAATCCCTGATATCAATCACATCAGATTCTAGCAATAAGTCAAAGTCATTGCAAGGATTGGTGTGTCTCCTTGAACTCTTGGAAACTTAAGACTTCAGTTCAAAACTCGTAGCTCTGATATTCCAGTAATGTGAACAAAATGAACCACATGTGTAAACTGATTAATCTTTCTAAACATAAAGTGCTTCACTTATAGTCATATTCACTTTTATATACACCAGAAATATAATTTAAACTTTTTTTTTTTCTTTTTGGTACCAAGGATTGAACCCAGAGGCACTTAGTCACTGAACCACATTCCCATTTTCATTTTTTGTTTGTTTTGTTTTGAGACAGGGTCTCTCTAAGTTGCTTACAGCCCTGATAATTTGTTGAGGCTGGCCTTGAACTTGCAATCCTTTTGCCCTAGTCTCTGTGAGATTACAGGCATATGCTACCTCATCTGGCTAATTTAAAGTTTTTAAGCTGACATTTTTTTCCTTGACTTTTGAGACTTGAAATATTGAAATTATATAATCTTTCCTTCACTGGAAGCCTATTCTTACAGAAAACTTAAGACATTACAAGATCTCACCAAATTACAGATCATGTTCATAAAGGCAGACCCAACTTTTCTGACCTCAGATCAACCCAAAGGGATGGATTTCCAGATAGATTCTGCTGTATGCATTGGTGCACAGACCTGATTTCCAGCCAACCTGTGCCTCTGAGATAAAAGGCTCAAATGACAACCTGGGTGTCATGGGATTCCAGCAGTACCAAGTACCCTGGCCCTTCCCTGCCTTCTAAGCTGAGGTATATACAGGATTACAAACCCAACATATGGAACTCAGACTGGAATTTTCCTCTAGAACAGAAATGGCCCTGCCCGTGAACAGGCCTAGGCAGCTCTGCAGACCCACCTGCCCCTGTCTGTATGTCTTCCCCAGTCTGGGTCTGATGCTGGGGAGCCCAGTGACTAGGTTTCCTGCCATTACTGTGCCTCTTCTGCAGCCACTGATGGCTACTGATGGTGCACTGTGCCCTCTTCCCATCACTTGGTAGTGACTTTTTGGCACATTCTAGAAAGTCTGTTCTAAGTGCGGCAGGCGAACTGCACCCAAAGTGGTCATACAGTCAGACAATAGTTAATAACCAATGGGAACTCATTTTGAGAAATACACCATTAGACAATTTTGCAGGTATGCTAGAGCATTCTAGCATGTCCTTGGAAAGTCCTAGATGATCTGAGTACATCACCCAGCATGGCCTCTTGCTACCATCGGGAGGTGTAGTAATCAAGAGAGGGATGAGGCTGCTGCTGGTGTCACAAGGCATGCTACTTTGTAGTGCACGTTCCTTTTTCTAAAATGACAACAAAATGTGAAGTGCAGTAAATGCACAAACCAATAACAGAGTCATTTATTACTAGGATCAAACACTGTAATACTACTGGCAGTGCGGTTGGCAGAGTCGTTACGACTGTGTTTGGACACTTTTATAGCTTCCTCTACAGAGATCCCGTGGGCCATGCTTCCTCTATTTGGGAACCTAAATGAAGTTCTTGTGTTGTTCTGCAGGGGAAGCTATTCAGCCAAGCACAACACACAGCCTCCCTCTTCTTCCTCCCATCTTCTCTGTGCTCAGGAAGGTACATGTTTGCTGACTGCCTGTAGCTTCCTGCTCCATCAGAACCCACCCTCCCATGGGTCAGAGGCAAACCTTCTTTCTCCTTGCTGGAGACTAGACCCAAATGTGGTGACTAGAGAGAGAGAGAGAGAGAGTCATCTTTGTTGTGTTTTCCCCGAGGTCTTTCTGCAGAAAGGTCCCTAGGCTTCCATGGGTCAGACAAAAATTGACCCAATACCCCTGGCTTTAGGCAGTCAAAACAAATGGATCCGCTATCAAACTCTTTATGACCTTAAAACCTCAACGTGGACATGGAAGAGCATAGCTGCAAGGACTGAGTGTGCTTGGTTGCCAAAAGCTCTGCCCCCTTTCCCACCCTGACCCCAAGCCCCCAAGGGGTTCCGGTGATCACAGTGGGATTTTCCTAAACTGTGCTGTGCAATTGTCTTCCAAGATGATGCTTCGCATGACACTTATTCCCATTCTGCCCCTTTCACGACAGGCATGCAGGAGGTCTGTGAAAACAGGTCTATCGTTTTTTTGTTTAGGCTCAAGTTCAGGTGCAAGCCTGGACTCCTCGGCTCACACGGTCCTGAGACTCCAGCTCATTCCAAAGAGTGGTCAAGGAATCATCTTCCCCAGAGACACCCCAGTGGCAGACACTTGTTTTTTTAAGCTGTTTAAGACTGAAACAGAGTTTTCTGTGTTTGACCTTCAAGTTCAACTAATGGTAAGCACTTTAGATCTAAACCAGCCCTTCGAGTTCCCGGGAAACTGTTTGTCCCCAGAGTCTTTAAATGTCCTGACTCATCTGATCTCCTAAAGGACATTTTCATTTTGACTCAGATTCACAATGTTATTTCCATTTATTTATTTATTTATTTATTTATTGGTATAAAAGTACATTTATTTATTGGAATAACAGTGTGCAGAATGATACCAAAAATTATACCAGCTCAGAAAGGGCCTAAGAGCAGGGAGTTTGACAGAAAGGCCAAGCAGAGAAACAACTACAATGGTACATTACATCTATGGTACCTATCAACAGATTATACAAAGCACTTTTACATAACTGATCTATAACAATCCAAGTTCTTGGTAAAAAATAAAAGAAGCCATTTCTGGGTAATTGCTGCAGAAATAAATGTACCAGGAGGATAATTCCTAGGATTCACATGAACATCAGACTTTGGAACTCAGGGAGCCTGGTTCGTGCGGCATGGCTGAAGTCAGGGTACATTCACGTATGGTCTGAGAACCATCTCAGCACATACAGACGCCCACTGGGCACTGCCCCTTGTGCCACTCTGCCGTGGAGTTAACCTCTGACAGTCCCTGAGACTTGGAGTCTCTCCCTCCAGACTCAAAGTTCCAGGTGGGCACACCTGATTGGCCAAGTCTGTGTCCTGGTGTGAGCAGGGTGGGAAGAGAGAATATCCACTTTCCTCATCCCTCACCCCTTGCTGTGCATTGGTGGCTAACGGTGTCAGTTTTATACGGCTGCAGAATCAGTTACTACAGAGTTAGCATTTTAAAACAATGCAGATTTGTTATCTTGCAGTTTCTGTGGGTCACGATTCTGGCCCAACTTCAGCTGGGATTTCATCTCAGGTCATCCAGGTGCCGGCTGGGATGCATTCTCCAGAAGCCCAGCTGGGGGGAAGAGTGTTTCCAAGCTCCCTCAGGTGGTAGCAGAATCCCTTCATGTCCAGTTACCTGTCTGAGGTCCCCATTTTCTTGGAATCTCTCTCAGCTCCTGGAGGCCTCATTCACAGATCCATAGTTGGGGATTATACAGAGAATGTAGAGCAGAGGGTGGGAATCCTGTGGTCCATCTTTGAATTCTGCCTACCAAAACTTGCCGAAGAATGACGAACTACTCCCACTTTTATTCTTACCGTGTTTTTTATTGGTGCATTATAATTTCCCTAACACTGGGATTTGTTGTTACATATTCATACAGGCACACAATAAAACAATAACATTTACTCCCCCTGGTCCCTTTTCTCTACTCTACTATCCCCCTTCTGTTTTCATGAGACTCCTTCCTACTTCTTCCTACAAAACTGTCTTTTTCCTTTTTCTCTCTAGCGTCCACATATGAGAAAGAGAAAAACACATGTGACCCTTGACCTTCTGAGCCTGACTTATTTCATATAACATAAAGCTCTCAAATTCCAATCTGTTTTGCTGCAAATGGCATAATTTCCTTTAAGGCTGAATAAAACTCCATTGTGGACACGTAGACCATGTTTTGTTTATCCATTTATCCAGTGATGGGCACCTCAGCTGGTTAGAGAGCTGGCTCTTGTCAATTTTTCAAGCAGTTCTCACTTTATCTCATTGAAATAGAAGGATATTTATACATTTTCTAGTTTTACTGTGGAAGAAACTAAGACGAACAAGTTGGGAGATTCGGTTATAGTTAGATAGTTGAGAGGTGGTTGAGTGAGAAGTTGAAATGAGAAAGTTTGATGGTGCTCTTTCCAAAGGTAAATGGAAATAAACAGTAGTGGATATGAGCATTCATTAAAATGCATAATTTGATAATTGATGGTGCAGGTTCTGATGGAAAATAAGAAAAGAGGACTAAAGATGAGAAAATATGACTACTCTCCTCCTACTAGAAGCTATTCTTGAGCCATAAGAAACAATACCCACAAAGAACACTGCTGTTTGATGTCAGAATCACATGCATCTAAGACATGACTGCTATTTGTAAAAGAAACAACTGCGAGCAGATTTCAAAGGTGAATACTCAAGGTTTCCAAAAGAGATCAAGCAAGAGCAGAGAGATGGCTGCCAGAGTCCTGTGGTTTTGCTGCCTTTACCCTCGTTCATTTTTTGCTTCCTGTTCTTCCCTTCATAGTTCAGAGACCACCTTGCATCCTGGGAACCTTTCCTTAGACAGTGTTATCAAAGACAAGTTGAGTATGTGTCAAGCTAAACGTGTTGTTTCCTTTATTATCATCCCAAAAAGTTTCCCAAAGAAGGTTTTGAAAGGAGATAGAAAGATAAAAGGGATAAGGTTATCGAGGATACAGTTTTTAGTCTACAAATAACAAATATTTTTTGTCTCAAATTATGTGAGTAAAACCTTACCGGGTCTTTGAACCCATGTGTATGCATGAAAAAAATAATAATAATAAGTGTAGAATAGAGAGACCAGATATTTTAAAAAATTATCTCATCTGGATGTGTCTGAACCCATACACAATGTCTTTACCCTCTTCTATTCACAAGTATATCACATGAAACACAAAAATGAAATCATCATGTCAATCCTGGCCCTGCTACTCTGTGGCTGGGTAATCTTACAGGCACAATTTAGCCTGTCTAAACCTCATTTTCTCATCTGTAAAAATAATAAGTTAGAAAACTTGGTTTCTGGAAGACCTTCCAACTTAAAAATGGTCATTCTTCAGTAGTCTCGATAAGGGTAATTAATTGTGGATATTGAAGCAACCCAGTCTGTCTAATCTTCAGAAGGGAGTGGATGAGTTCACATTAAATCATAGGTAACCATGAACTTAATTGCGTTCAGCTAAGAACACCATCTATCTCTTTTGGCAATTTTGCAATATTTGCTCACTGTAGAACTAATTACCACAGCCATATGTACATCTACCTACGCGTGTGTGTGCGCGCACACACACACACACACCACAAACACAAAGACAGCGTAGTAACCAGGTTAACAGAGAGGAGCAGCTGAGTTAACAGAGCCCTGTGGGAGGAGAGAAGAATAGAAAAAGTACGACACCCACACAGCTTTCACAAATTGGCATTATCCATATGCATCCTCGCTAATTACAATAATCATCTCCTTCTACAGTGAGAGCACTGCTTGACCTTGTGCCCGTGTTTTGTGTCTTTATCTTGTGAAAGTGCTGTTTCTCTCCTCTATTTCCTCCCTTGTGCTATTAATCAACTGCAGTGGGGGACGTGAGAGGACCCCCATCCCGTGGTCCATTTGGCCTGACCTTGCTGCCTACTGTCTTAAAACACTCCCATCCCTGGAATAGAGCAGTACCTTTCAGCGTGACCAAGATAGACAGCTCTCCTCCCTTCTCTCAACCCTTCGCTTTCTGTTTTGGTTGCAGGGGAAGCCTGAGCCCAGGTCACGGGGGCTGTATTATTGCTAACATCACCATTCTGAAAAGTTCCCGGAGACGCTTTTGAAAGGAAATTCTGCCTGCTCTGTGCTGCTCTGTGTGCTTAGCAAGATGCAAACAGACTTAAGTGAGACAGGAAGAGGGCTGAGAAGCAGAGAGATGGATTCCAAACACCAGGTGGGAGAATTCATCTCACCTTGTCTAATCAGTGCCTGGAGAGGGGAACGCAGACTTCCTTCCCTCTCCTCAAGTCCCTGGAAAATAGTGCAAAACGGATTAAGTAATAGGGATGAAGTGTTTTTACATTTTTAAATTTATGTCTCTCTCTCTCCCTCCTGCCTAATCTCTGTAACATGGACTTCCGGGGATAAATATAGACCACGGTGAAAGAAAATTGCCTAGGACCCTGGCTGGCTTCAGATAAATTTGCTACTAGCATGGTAGAAAACTCAACGTAGCTTTAAACAAGCTCTCTTTTCCATCTACAGAAGCTCCAGGCAGCAAACACCACGAACCTAGAAGGTACATCCTGACATGTTCAATAAATGCACGAGCCAACAAATAATGTCCATCCCATACACGAGTAGCCCCACAGAGGCTACTTTGAAAAGAAGCATTTTCGTAAGGAAACCAATAATATTTTTCCCCCCTAGGGGAAATATAGGTCCTCTCCTACATTCTTAATTACTGTCCTGACTCTGCCCACATCTCAGAAAACGTCCTAAGTGGGGAAGACTACATCCTAGCATATTTCACTACTGAGCCAGCCATTAAGCTGTTCGTCTCAACTTCTAACTGGTGCTCTGTGCTCGGCTCTGTGAATCTGAGGCTGACTCTGCAGACCCCATTGCTGCTGTGCGGGTCCTCCATGTTTGCCTCCTCCAATGGGGCCCTTGCGGGAGGAAGCCTGGCGGGCTGGAGGAGAGGCTTGTTGCTTCTTGTTTGCTTCCCGTTGCTGCCAGCCTCACCCAGCTCCCTCCTCCACTTTGGCAGTTGACCAAGTAACAGAAGGGGACTCCAGTTGGAAGTTTTCCAACATTCATGCCCTCAGAAATGCCAGCAGGTTGGTGCCCTTTCCTCGAGAGCACAGGGCCAAGCTCATGGAGGCCCGGCCTCCAAGCTCAAAGACAGTCGCCCCAGCTAACGGAAGCCCTTCTCAGAAGTCTGAAATCCGTGGGGACCCCTCTCCAAGCTTCTAAGGGTTAATGATTCCCTTTCTTCCCTACCCCTAAGAGAGGGAACTGCTTCCTGCAGTTGCTACTTCTGGAGTTCCACTGTCTTCTCCAGTTCATAATTATTTACACTGACACATTGCTACTTAGAAGAGGATGAGACTGTTTTCTCTCCCCTGTCTAGACTGACTTACACAAAAATTTATACCAGAAATGGTCTCAGGAAACAGACTGCTTGATTCAATTAAAGACAGAATTTGGGGATTGCTGTAGTTGTCTCCTGGATCTTTATTTTTTTAGTGCACTTTAATTATACAGAAGAGTGAGTTTCATTGTGGCATATTCATACATGCAAATGACATACTTTGATCAGATCCACCCCTTACCACCCTCTGTTACCCTTCCCTCCTCCAGTCTCCTTCCCCTTTTCCAAAAGTCTCTGCCACTTTCATGACATCTTCTCCCAACCCCCGATTCCCCATATGAGGGGAAACCATGAGACACTTGTCATGCCTGACATTGTGATCTCCAAGTTCCGTCCATTTGGATGGATCCAATGTAATCCATCCAATATTGGATCCAATATGATCTCCAGTTCCATCCATGTGTCTTCTGAGTCTTGAGTGCCATGCTCCCTGCTCATGGTGAATAGCATGTGAGTAACCAGCTGCATGCCGCAACCATCAAAGTTAATTCAATTATTAGCTGTGGCTGATCTTGTAGTACCAGCCCATGAACTGGCTCATGGGCGGGCTGCCTCGGAATGCCCCAAGCACTGGCAGAAGGCAAGCTCATGTCCCTAAATTCTCAGCTCAAATTCTAGATAGGTATGCAGGAAGCTTCCAGGTCAGTTCTAATAGAATCTCTTATTTCTTTTTCTTATTTCCTTGCTGAAAATAATTGGAAGATGGCAAAATTATAATTGAAGTTTAATTTACAGAGTCTCCAATTTCACAAGGGAAGTTTAAGTATCATTTGGGAAAGATAAGAAACCTTGGACTTGGAATGGGGACGTCTGGGTGGATTCAGATGAAGCTCCAAATCCATCTGAGTTACTGGAGCCTCCCTTGCCTACTGAAGAAGCCTACTCTCATATTTCTAGAGAGACTGGCGTCCTTTAAAAAAAAAACACTTTAGTAATAGGGTAATGTTCTCACCATGAGATACCTCTTCTCCTCAACACCCATCAAAACTGTCCCTTTTGCCACTACAAAGGTCCTTATTTAGGACCTAAAGTCAGCATGTGCTCTTGTGGAAGAAACACAGTCTGACCCTGAAGGAAATGGCATCCACACCAATAGAAACACACGATGGTAAAAAGTTATAATCGCAGGAGCCTGAAAATAGGTGTGGCAGTCCCTTCCAAGAGGCTAGAAGAGGGAGAATAGAACCTAATAGTGGATTCGATGCTATTGAATTTATCAGTATAGGTATAATTAACAGAGATTCTGGATTTAAAGTCTTATTTCATGCAGCTGGATGTGACTCTACCAGTTCTCTTGGTTGGTAGATTGACTCGACCAACTAAGATTGTTTTTAACAAGATTGAAAACCTGGGGTTCTATGGTAACATGTGAGGAATCCAAAGGCTTAGGTATACAAGAATGTTGAAAGATACTTATTACATATTTCCTGAAAATGCTAGTCCCACACTTTTCATCCTAAGGAGGCCTGAAGAGTCTTCCTTCATAAAAGCATTGAAAAATTCATTAGCGAGGGACGCACTAGCGCCTTTGGATAGGTTGTTCTCTGTAGGCTGATGTCCACATTGAGATTTCAGGGGAAACATGAGAAGCTTATGTCATTTAGGCTACTTGGTAGTATTGTTACCAAAGTCAGATGAACTGCATTTATAGAAAATCACAGTAGAAAGAAAGTAGTAATTAGCATTTTTAAAAAAATATTTTTTAGTTGTTGTGGGCTTTATTTTGTTTATTTATATGTGGTGCTGGGAATCGCACCCAGTGCTTCACACATGCTAGGCAAGCGCTCTACCCCTGAACTACAACCACATCCCCAATTAGAAAGTTTTTAACTTACAATGATCACAACTTCCCTGTGAATTGAATTGAATGAAATAGAAGAGCTACCTATGGAGATGTTGCCTGATCTATGTCAGGTTTTATCAAACTTTTCCAAAGAAGGTCTAGATAGCAAATGTTTTAGGTTTTTCAGTCCAAGAGGCAAATCTGAAGATACTAAGGAGGCATTTATACAACAAAAGACAAAACTAATTTCCACAACATTTTAATTGATGAAATTTAAATAAAATTAATTAATTATAATTAACAGAGATAAAATACTGCAATGAATCCTTCTTTTGGTAATTCACATTTACTAATGAGAAGAATAGAAATTTTTTGTACACAATATGATATTTCATGTAATTCAGGTTCAAAGTTAATGTTTTCTATTGTAAATATTATTTACCAATTATCATCTATTAAAGTTAATCTTCGATAAATTCTTTGTGCTTAATCTAATGTTTGAATTTATAATTTTACATAGATAGGTATTGCCAAATTTTAACATCACTTTGGGAGCATATACTTTTATTTGAGCATATTAATTGCTTAGAAGATACTTACCAAATTCTAGCAGGTTCTTCTCTTATGCAGTCATGTGCAGCTGAATGGCAGGGACATGTCCCAAGCACCATTGGTCAATTTTGTTGCTATATAAACATCACAGAGTGCATTTACACAAACTTAGATGGTGTGAGTCAATAACTGACGTAGTTTCTTCATGAAATCAAGAGATGGGGTAAACACAAAACATCAGGCATCTACCTACATGACAGCACACTATTTTATAGTAAACTTCTTATTTTTATAAGCAGAAGGAGTACACTCTAAAAGAATGATAAAAGTGTAGTTGAGTAGTAACATAAACAAGTAGCACAGTTACTTATTATCATGATCAAATATTATGTACTAATATAATTGTATTGCTAGACTTTTATACAACTGGCAGTGCAGTAGATTTGTCTACACCAGCATCACCTCAAACATGAGAGAGGCACTGAGTTATTATCACCCTATGTCAGTGATGTCAATATATAATAGGAATTTTCCATCTTCATTATAATCTTGTGGGGCCACTATGGTATATGTAGCAATTATTGACCAAGACATCATTATGAAGTACATGACCATATTTGCCTTTTAGCAGGTCATTAAATTGCAAATTAACCACTTGCAATGAAAGATTGGTGCAAATTGTCCGATTGCACAGTTAAGTAGACTTTGAAATTTGTGGTTTAAGGCAGTTCTCTTTTTTTTTTTCTGAAAAAAAAAAATGCATTCTTAGCCCTCAGCTCATTGATGACTATTAAACCATGAAGCTACATGATTTCTACTTCTGACAAAAATTCATGATACTGACTGACCATAGGTAAGTCTGAAATAGAAAATGAACTTCACCATTGACTCTACTGATTTAATAACACATGATAGATTCATGTATTTTCCACACAGTACCTACTAAAGGATAATTCAATAAATAAACACAAACTTAAAATTTTTACACTTTTCACAAGCTTTGTAAATTTGTTGAAGCCTCTTTCTGCTTCACATATCTTTTTAGCACTCTCAATTGTAACACATCATAGCAGATTCCACTCCAGGTTACACTGGATTAGTGTTTAATTAACTTACCATCAGTAAATTTGCTTGTCTTGGGCAATAAATGAGCCACTTGGAAACTGTAGCATCATTGCATAATAAAAACAATGTTGTGCCATTTTCATTTGATTCTTGTCTCAACAGCAGACACGCAAAGTTCACTTCTCTTGTTTTCTTGTCATGTCATGATTATACGAACTGGTGATAAAATATGTTTTACAACATAATGGTATGTATAAAACTTAAAATACTGTTGAGTTACAACTGCATCACTGTAATTTGCAATGTGTTGAACATCACTATGTAAGTGACAAAAGTACCATATGTGGTCTCAGTGGCATCCACTCAATTCTGCCATGTTAGCATGAAACCATCCAGAGACCACAAGTCACCACACGAGTGTGGCTGTGTTCTGATGAAACTTACTTGTGGACATTGTGCATAAATTGTTCATTTGTAATCAATTACAAATTTCAATTTCCTCTTGATTTTTGTAACCACTTGGAAAATATAAGATCCCTTCTTAATTCGTGGGCTATACAGAAATAGGTGACTGATCAGATATGGCCGTGGACCATATTGTACCCAATCTCTGATCAATGGAATAAAACTCCGGATCCAAGAGGTACAAACTTGACTTGATTCATCCCATAGTGGATAACTGTGGTCTCTCTCCCAATTTCTAGATTCAAGCCAGTTCACTGATCCAAATATCTCTGAAGTGAAGACTAGTTCATTTTTGAGGAAGAAAACTGGAACAAAATATCCTGTAAGTCTTCCTCCAAGCCTTCTCCAGAGGGATCCTCCTCCACTGTTTATTAGAGTGACTCATGCTGGGGAACAGGGAATAATAGAAACTTCCAGAGATCAGTTGGCAGCAACATGCAGAAAACCAAGTCTCCTGTTAGTGAAAATATTAAAGAATTTTTATGTATTATTGGGGAGGGGGTGAGAGTGGGTACCAGGGATGTACTCAGGGGCACTTGACCCCTGAGCCGCATCCCCAGCCCCATTTTGTGTTTTATGTAGAGACAGGGTCTCACTCTTGCTGAGGCTGACTTTGAACTTGCCATCCTCCTGCCCCAGCCTCTGGAAACACTGGGATTACAGCATGCGCCACCACGCCCAGCTACTTTCATATATTTTTACTGTTTATTGTTTTAAAGACCCTCACTCTTCCCCACAAGTGGCAGAAAGCCACTCAGGGCCGTTTTGGGTTTTTTTGAGTTTTGTTTTTTGCTTTTCCAGTTTCTTCCTCTCACTGTCCTGTCTCCTCTGCGCTACCAGCACCCATGGCAGACTCTGGCTTCCTTCTCCTGCCATCCGTCAGGATGGTCCCTGCTCTCTTTTCTCCCTTTCCCTTCACTTGCAAGATCACAGCACTGTCCATTTATAGGACAATTGCTAAAATAGCAACCGAAGTGAGACAGAACGCCGGCAGCCAAGAAATAAATGTTTGTGTTCGTGTGCTTAAAAATAACCCGTCTGGAATGACATCATAGGAAAAATCCAGATAAGGCAACGCCTGCCCTGATCTGAAGTCACGAGCACGTCAATCCCGGGTGCATGATTTCCCACTCCGAACCACACGTTTGCAAGCAAAAACAATCGCCCTCACCTGCCAGTCTTTCTTCCCCCAAAACAC